ACTGTCAGCCACATTTATGTTCAGCCTAAAATCCTGCCATCAGAGGCAAAACCATTAGCGATGACTATCGGGACAGATGAGGTTCAGGCAGCCAGCTGTCTGTCCTGACATAGAATGATTCAATTAGAGCAACATGCTCGTAAATATCCAGGTAATTGTAGGTATGCAGCAACAGAAAGAGAGAAGGAGGTGGGCCCACACACTAAGGCCCTTTAATTCATGGCTTTTTATTCACACAAAAAAGGAGTTTTGTGATTAAAAAGAAGAAAAGGTCACGTCTCACTCACCGAACCTCTTGTATCCAAAAGACTGTACTTCCTCCTCGTCTGCAAAGTCGTCTGCGTGACATAATCAGAAACATATGACATAAATAGGTCACACAACTAGGGGTACACTGTATCTGAGACAGTTGTTAGGACTCCATAAATAACATAAAAGTGATAGAGACACTACCGGGCTGCTGCATAGAGTCAAAAATGTATAAAGTTATCTTTAAATACAAAGATCAGGGCAGCCAATGAGGATTTATGCTAGAGATAATAGAGTATCATCTCCTCTGTGTATGTGTGAGTGTGAGTTTAGAGATAGGAGGTCCACAGAACTGTAAAAACCACAGGCTGCGGTTTCTCTGGGTTGTTGACAGTAAACCCTAATTACACTGCTACACTGCACTGAAGACTGGAGCGGAGCACAGAGAACATCGCTGGTAATGGTTAACAGATGGGGCCAGGAGGAGGGTGACATGGGTAAGGGGGAGTGATGGGGGAGCCAGGGAGGGATGACTTTCACGAAGGGGGGGCGTTTAGACTAGATCAGGAGCTACTGTTGCAGAGTGGATCACACATTCCTGAGTGCTAATTCCCCTCCAGTTCACTCTACACGAGGAAGATGCTGATGAATTAGAACGCCTGCAGATTGTTGTCTTTAATCGGCTACTTGTTGGAGTTTAAGCACAAACACAGCAGTCAGTGATGAAGCTCTGCAGGTGGTGCTCACTGGTCATCATCAGTCATACCCTTCTCTTTCTCATGCTTAAAATCAAGTGAATCTAAAGCCTCTCTTTTCTCTCGTTTGTTAGATCTGGGCTTTTTTTAAATTCTCACATTATCAGTTTAGCGGCCAAATTGCGCAAACATTATTTGGTGTTTTAATTCTTTCAATGGGATGAAACTGGTGGTGGAAAAAACTGCATTTTACAACTTCTGCTGCGCAGTAGCGTAATGTCATCCAGATGTGCGCACTCGCAGAACACAAAGAAACACTTACATGTTAAATCAATGCAATATTTGAATGAAAGTAAAGGTCTTGCACTTTTCTTTCTGCAGCAACAGTTACGTACCTTTCATGGCGTTTTATCACTCGTTGAGAACTGTAGAAGAGATGAGGACCGCTGTCACTTTATGCGCATCTCACCATCCAGTGCAGAAGTGTAAACTTGTTCCAACACACTATAATTAAAGGATTTTTTTTAAAGCTACAAGTCTGCATTGACTTTCATGACTCTCAGTTTAAATTCCCATCGTTTCTGCTTTCTTGCTCGCTGTGGCTCAGAAGAGTGTTTGCGGGAGAGCTCAGATGATCCCAGAGCGCTGAGCTAAAGGAGAGTTGAGCTGAGACTTAGACCAGTGTTAAGTTACACAAAGCAGCAAGTTGTGTTTCCGGTGGTCCTTTCAGAATAAATTGTGGTCGCCCCACCTCTTTTCCACCCCTTAAACCACAGAAAATACAACTTATTTCCGGAAGATGAAATAGATGCCTAATAGATGAAGATGCCTTTCACATAATTTGTTCCCATTTCTTCTTTCTATGAAAAAAATACCAAACATATCTCAGTTTATCAAATATAACAATGCAAATGATCAAAAGATATTACTGAAAACCTGGCACCTCTTGTCAAGTGGTAGCCCTAAATTCTATCTACAGGATAGGATTTCGCATGGCACTCGTTCCAAACAAACTGCTGATGCAATAAAAGCATATCTGAATTAAAAACACACACAATAGAACACTCTCTGCCATTCACTGGCTTTCCTACAGCTCGAACATCAACATTATTGAAGCAGTGTTGGATCATCCTAACAGGGAACAGAACAAAAGGCAGCCAACATTTTCCTGAAGCCTGCTTAAAGAAAATACAAGAAGCCCTGCCTAAGAGAGTTCAGGCTGTGTTTATAAAAAATATATATATTATCACACTAAATATTGACTTTTCACCTTTTTGCACAAGCTGTGTTTTTGCCTTATATACTGTATTTCCATTTGTGTATATATTTTTCAACAAGTGACTGCACATATTTTCCTAGTAAAATATAAAGATATGAAGGATGCCTCGGGTCTTTTGCACAGTTCTTGGTTTCAAGACATCAGAAAACAACTTCTGTGTCAAGCTCAAAATCTTTGCTTTGACACATTTAGGGGGGAAAACTAATCTATTAGTCATTTGTAACAACATATAGATGACATTTTCTGTCCTCTCTTTTAGATTTTCTAAGCGCTTTTAAGGTATCTAAATTTAATTTAGGCACGCTTTTATTGTGAAAGCTAAGATACTTCATTTCCGTCACTGGACTCAATTTCTGCATAGCTTTATACATAACTTGACAACCAAACTTGTTACTACATCTGTGCTGCACAGCCTTTCAAAGCAGTTACGGTCCCCGGCCCTCCTGCTGAGCCTCCTCCTGTGGGGACAGAGGAGGTGCGGACTGCTTTCAGCACTACAGACCGCGAGACGTCGCCCGACGCTGCAGTAATCCAGCCGGAGATGAGATTAGGTTACAGGGGGTTGATAGCAATCTCGTCCCCCGGGTAAAAATCTGGTACCCATTAGAGATAATTTCAAAGGTTGGAGAAGGTGGAAGGGAGCACCGCGACATTTCTGCCCAGTTTCTGTTTTGCATATTTAGGCTCATATCTCATGTCCTTCAAGGATTTAAAAATCATTTTAATATCAGCCTCCCTGCGGTAATAGATTAAATATGCTGTTTGGTGACGTGTTATCGTCTGATTTATCACGGCAGCCCCACAATTCTGCAAAACACTGCAGAGTATTTTCCATTGCTTCCACAGAACAGGAGAGAATCCTGCAGGAAAAAATAGCAGGCATACAAAAACTAAAATCAAAAACTTATAGATTCAAGAAAAAGTCTTATGGCTGCGTGAGAGCTGTACTTCAAAGGTATAAAAAAAGTTTGCATGATCCAGCTGCATGCATAAATTAGTGGAAAAACTATAACTATGCATTTTTATTGCCACGATGTCTAAATGAGCTCTGTTTGATAAAGCACAATAAAATCCTCATGACAACATGGCTATATAGATGGTTGCACTTCCTCTAGAAACAACTTATTTTGCTGAGAAGTGTCCGCTGTTTATCCATATTAGACTGTAAGGTTCACTGGGCGCCATTTTTCTTTAACTCTTCCAGGTGTTGTGATAATTCCTGGACACTTCCTGTATCCACAGTCTTCAGATCACTGATCAAACACAGAGCTCCAGCTGCATCCTCCCAGACTAACAAGGAACATCAAAGAAATGAGACAGGCCCACTCTTGCATCTTCAGTCCAGGTTAGTGTCACTGGGTTACATGATGCTAATCTTTTTACACTCGTTCACTTCATGCCAGTAAATTTTCCAGAAACGGATGCAGACAACATCAAGTGTCTCAGCACTGGAATCCTCTGGGCTTGGAAGGAAAGCAGCACACATGTCCAGCTCAGATCTGTTTGTTCTTCTTTCTTTGGATAACACAGCCTTCTAACTCTGGCTCAGCACTAATGGCTTGAGTTTGACCCAGTGTGCCACATAACATACTTCAGACCAAGTTGAGATGATCAAGCAACTAATTACTTGTTTTACTAAAGGCTTCAAAACTGTTATTTTACTGTCGGCTATGATTGGAGCAGCAGGCTAGTATTGGGGCGCAGAGAGAGATCGTGGTGAGCTAATAAAAAGCAGCTGAGGGTCAGGTAGCTTACTACCAAGCTCCTGCTGGTCCTTATTCAGGGGTTGGGACCTCATTTGCTGGGTCAAGGCTTTCTGCAGTGGGTTCAGATTAGCAGGAGATTTAGAAAGCATACAGGAATTCCACATTTGCCACGGTGCCGCCATGTAGTGATTAGAAAAATGGCAACTCAAATCATTCAATTGCTGCAGGAGAGATTCACTGTTGGCAGACTAGAGAAAGTACTTTTCCATAGACTGCTGAGATAGTTTAATAACTTTTTAGTTTATTAAAACTGTACCTTAACATAACCGTTCATGCCCTTAAAAAAGAAAGAAAATTATGATCACTTGGGGGCAGCAGTGACAAGCTCTAAAAAATGATGAATTCTTACTGTAAAATCCTGTTTTTAAAAATAGTCTTAAATCTTCCACAGCTTAACTTACCAACAGGATTTTAAAATGCAACCACTATGACTTTATGCCTGAAAAAGAGATATAAAAATAAGGTAAAAGAGGGCTGGGCTGTACTTTTATGTAATACCAGATTGTACCACAAGAGGGGGCAGTGAGTCAATGTAACCTTTATCCAACCAGTAAATGATTAAACATTTTTATTTAGAATGGCAGCCTGCAAATTCCAAAGCATCTTAAATAAATATATATACTTTAAAAAAAAAAGAAGCAGCTGCAAACATCTGGAAAAATTTAAACAAACTCATTAGACCAACACTGCCTACTGGTAGTAAAGTTTTCAGTTAAAGTTTTTAAGATTAATTAAAAAATAGTGTCTTTAATACAGCTCCAGGTGTGCGGCTGGAATTTTCCATCAGGATCCTGAGTCTACCTGGTATCGCCCCTGGGCAGGGCCATCTTCTCCTCTGCAGTTCTACACACCTGGAGCTGATTGCAGGCAATCAAGCCAGAGTGATTTAGGCCTCACGCTGACATTCATTCACCGCCAGTTCATCATCAACTCATGTTGGTAGCCAGCTTACATGGTTCAGGCTCTCCTTGTGATTTACTCTGCTAACCTTGTTTTCTTGTGACACAGTTCCAGGACTCACCTTGACTCAAACCTCAAGCTTAAGCTCCTCTTTTGGACTCAGGATACCTTACCCAATCTTTGAAATCACTCTGTGCCTCATCTGCCTGCCCTTCCGCTATTGCACATCATCAGAAACCTTCAGATCTCAGGTCAGCCATCCCACACCGTCCAGCTCACTCTGGATTCACGTCACCCCTCCCTCATTGCTTACTCACTCCACCTGCAAGTAAGAAAAGTTGTAAAACATACTAACCATCTACAGAGCTCCTCTCCACTACCCTTCCCTAATTCAGTTGTCCTCTCTCCTCAGTGTGACTGCTAAACTGCTACGTTCCAGTGTATATCAATTCCCCCCTCTCAATCCATGTCAAGCTAGCCACGTAAACTAGGCCTCGCCACGTCAAGTCCTGTGTTTTATTGCCTCTGTCCTTACTTATCATATTTTGAGTTTAACCAATAAACACCGTAAAACGTTCTGCTGTCTCTGCTCTGGGTTCCTACACAGTCCAGTTTTTGGACCAAGCTTTCGGTCTTATGACACACTATTTCTAAGTATGATGACTTCCAGGATCAGATAGTTTCCAGTTTTCTCTGTGTGGATGGAAGACAGATTGGTAACGAACTAAAGGAAGAGTCTGAATACGTAAGTGGAGAAACGCACAAATGCTGATGTTTCAATGAGGAAAACTAAGTATAAAAATGTTGTATGTAAAGTTAGATGTTTAATTACTAAGTGATAATGCATACAGTCACAATATCATTCTCCATAACCGGAAGAGTTTCAGACAGAGTGCCAGAAAGCTTTGTAGCTGTTCTGGTTACTCATGATGACAGATGGGTTTCAGTAAGACACAAGAGCCTAAAGGATTACATGCAGTTTCTTTTGGCTGTTTATCACCAGCTAGTACATTTACAGCACAGGTAACCATATCACCAGGCATACAGCTGTATTACGTGAAGTTGAAATGACAGTGCACATTGTAGAGTCAGGGTTCTTATCGATCTAAACCATATTTCGTGTTCCCTGGACTGGATTATACAGCTGTCTTCTACTGATTTTTTTTTGATACCCTACAGAAATGAATGGCTGCCTGGAATGGTAGAAAAACGGAAAACAAGCAACATAAACTGAAAGTCTACACAGTTTGTTGTTAAAGCTTAAACTAAGAGCAGCTGTATATCCTCTTTTCAGTTACCCTGTTTTGTGTATAGTGTGCACGTGTGCATGTGCAGTCCTCCTGCTCCTGTTGTGGCCTGCAGTGCAGAGCTTAACCCATGATTGAGACCATGCCAGTGTGTGTGCCAATTCTCTGCAGGGGGCTCAGGCTTACTGTCAGTCTGATAGAGATTAAAGCATAAAGTTTTACCTAAGGAGGGCTCTGGACTATGTTAGAGACCATTAAGTGCGTGAGACAGACAAACAACTGAGCACGTTATATTTACAGAGCATTAAAGTTGATCTGCAGGTATGCAGCGCGCATAAGGCTTAATAACCAATAATGCAAACACACTAATAGGATCTGTACTGCTGAGTAGATCCATAAAAATAGAACAATCCTCGGAGGAACCAGACTGTGTCAGTCTCATCCTTCCATAAGCACAAGCTGCTGCTTTTTTTTTTTCGGGAGTCGGATATTTTCAGAGCTCTCAAGGTAAAAGCTTGTTCTACATTTCTTCGGTTTGTGTTTTGCACAGAATGGCACAGTTGCAGTGCAACAGCAGGCTTGGATGAGATATTGGAGGAGACTTGCAATACAGCTGTTGTTTTTTTAAAACTAGATATTTTAAATGTTTGCAACCTGGAAGACATCTTACTCTGTGTTCACTGAAGGTTAATGGGAATAATTTGCATTGATAAGATGCCATAAACTAAATAAATATGCAGTATTCAGAGCAAAAACACACAGTTATGGTTGTTTCCTGTTATTTACTATTTACTTGCTGTTGCTTTCAGCTCATTTAAGAAAAAAATTGTGTAGTAATTTGAGGTTTTGTTGTGTACATTTTTTGGATATTCACCTTTATGTATAATTCATCTGCACTTTATGGTAGCAAGCCATCATATTTCCTAATGTGATACTAATGAACAAATCCAAAAAGATTAACTGACAGCTGCCTTAGTGGATCTGTTCAGCTCATCATGTTTATTGGTTTGACATTGATTTCATATTGGATACTAATGAACTGACATTTTATCCACTCCCCTTCATCCTGTAAATATTATATATAAATTTGCTTGTGAGCTGGCACCACCATGTGGTCGTTGTTTCTTTTTGCTAGAAAAAAAATTTCTTCTCCTGTTCTGAAGCTTGAGGCACGATGTGGAGGTTTCTTGCTCAGATTCTCTTCATCGCTGAAGTCCTGCTCTGTGCCGCCGACTCTCCTCTGATCAGCGAGGAAACACTGAAAAGTAAGGCCTTCGCTGACGGAAAAGAAAAGCGAAAAACAAGACACCAGTGATTACTGTTGCAGAGCTTAAAGTATTGTGTGTTCCACGGGTGTGTGCAGGGCTTTCCGCAGCGGGAGAGCAGTATGTTGATGAGGAACTAAAGGGAACTTTGCTCGGAGTGAAGCAGGTGAAGGAAATGATGGAGAAGAAAGAAGAGAAGCACAGGCACCTGATGGATGCACTGAGGCACAGCAGTGATAAGAAGAAGGTGAATTCTGTTCGTTTTGCACTGTGCTGATCGTCCAGTTTCAAAAATCCTGCACAGCATTTGTGGCTGGTTAAGATGTACCCGCAATTAAAACCGTGTTTAAACGGTTTCATGCCAGTCCTTGTGCATTTTTCTGAAACCCACCACATATTTTCTGCTTCACAAAGACAAAGTCACATGGAGAGACCTCAAAGCAGACAGTGAAAAATGAGTGTGGGAGTGCAGCTGGTTAAGTGAGTCTGGGGTGTAGTTTTACTACAGTCAGGATAAATTAACTGTCTCTAGATTATTATATTTTCTGAGTGTTTTCAGAACGCAGGGCAGGGCAGAGTGCCAGAGCCTCAGACTTCATCTTATCCTCTGTGGTTTATTAAAAGGGAATGTATCTGTGACAGAGTTTTCTGTTTTTTGGGTTGGGTTTTAGGGGGTGATGCAGCTGGCCAAAGAAACACAGCAAAAAGTCGAGGAAGCCGAACAACAATGTCAAGATTTAACCAAATCTTCCTTTGGGGAGTGCCAACCATGTTTGGAAGATTCTTGTAAGGCCTTCTATACATCTACGTGTCGCCGCGGCTTCGCCTCTTTCTCGTTCAAGGTTTGACTTCAGCACATTCCAACAAAAGGAATCTCTTTAGGACTGATGTTTAAGGTGCAAACATATCTCTGTGAATCTCTCTCCCTCCCTTCAGGTAGAGGAGTTTTTCAGGAAAATGGCCACTAAGTTGGAAGATGCCGAGCAGGTCCACAATAAAAATCAGGAGAATTCAGGTGAAAATGTCGCAGCTGAAAAGCAGGTCACAGAGGACAAATCCAATATGGAGCTGCTGCAGGCTGAAGCATCGTTCAGCGACCTGTTGTCAAACATCAGCCTTTTGTACAACCAGAGCATTGGTCTGGCCAAGAAGATGCAACCCGTGTTTGGTCACGCCTTTCTAGAAACCTTTGCCACTGAGCTGCAGTCCAGCACGCTTTCGACCAGAGGGTCAAGCTCTGGCTTCCTTGGGTCGGTGGGTTTGGAGCACGTTCTTCACTCAGTGCTTGACTTTGGGAAGAGCGTGCTGGAAGGCTTCAGTGCCCCAGTGGCTGATTTGTTTGAGGAAATAAAAGAAGCTGAAGAGTACGTTCAGCAATCAAGTCGAGGTATCTGATGCACAACGCTGCACTCTTAAATGTGTGTGTTTGTAGACAATGGTTGTTTGTGTGTAACATAATTCATGTCCACCTACAAAGATACAGGCTTGTTTTCTGCAATGGGACCGCTGCAGAGCAGATATATGTGCAGAAGACTCCGCAGACAAGCATCAGAGTGCTGGAAGCTTCAAGACCTGTGTGAGACATGCAGGGATTATCTGTTAAAGGGTAAATCCAGATTTATTTTGCCACTCTTCCCACACAGACACATATAAACAGTTTAAAACTGGTTTTATTTGACGTTAAAAAGAAGGAAAACTATGGAAAACAAAAAATGTCTGTCACAATTTCCTAGAGTCTCAATGCCACATAGCTTGTTGGGTCTGAAAAACTGTCCAAACCCAACAATGTGGTCAGATTAAAATGATTTAGCAGACACAAAAACAGAACATTCACATCTGAGAAATGGGAATCAACTTGTTTAGGGCATTTTTGAGGCTTTACTTGTTAAAATAGTTGTTGATTAGTTTTCTCTTGACTGAGAGGATTTTAAAAAATGGTTTTAACGCTTTTTAGATAGATGCTTAAAATTCTTTCATCAGGAATAATGCAAAAAAAAAAAAGTCCTTTAGTTCAACATGAACATCTGGATTTCTGCCTCCTCATACAGCATGCCCCAGCATGCAGCAGTTGCACTCTGAGATGGAGGAGATGTACATGCTGCTGAACGCCTCCCGTCAGCAGTATGACGGCAGGCTGCAGCTGGTCCACAGACACACAGCAGACACTCAGATGTGGCTCAGCAGCATGCATGACAAGTATGGCTGGGTCAGCCAGCTGTCCAACAGCACAGTGGACCCACACAGCATCTTCAGTGTGATATTGGTATGTGGCTAGTGATGCTGCATCTGTAGACATTATCTTTGCTGTATAAATTGGGAAGCTTTTATTAAGGTTGCAACAAGCCAAGGTTGCAATTTTGAGTCAGACGGCTACTTTCATTTTCATCTCTTCTCATCTTTTAGGTGAGTCCACAGCAACAGATAAAGAATAACAAGCCTAAAGCAGACAGCAGTGTCACTGTCTCCATAATGGATTCAGCCCCAGTAACCATACTGGTCCCAGCAGATCTGGAGGTGGATGACCCTGCTTTCATCCAAAATGTTGCTCTAGAGGCTCTGACACTATATAAACGGAAGATAAAAGGTATTGATCCCACGATTGTGGTCCCTTAGTGCAGTATTTGGCTACCAGCATCACCTGGCAGAGTTCCAAATTGAATTTAACCCAGATGAACTGCGATCATTTGAAAGCGCTTTACACTGCGATCGCTACAGATTGGATAGTATGTTGCAATCCAAGATGATAATGTGACTAGAAAAACAATCATGCATTCCTCTTTTTATTGACTTGTTTAAAAAGATTAATTGGATCTACATGAAATCGATCTCTAATTATATTATATTTTTTGTTTTTTAATGGTCTGTACACTTACATAATGTAAAACTTAATAGTTTTTTTCTGCACAGGAATGGAGTAATGTGATCATACCACCATGGGAACAGTTTCTTCATGCAGAGTGAAGAGTCCAGGACATTCAGGTTTTCTCGTGCACAATTAAGCTGATCTGTATAATACTTGAAAATGCACCGCATAGACCTCTAAACCTTCATATGCACAGTTTATGTTGTTCTTATTCATGTATTTTGATGCTTAGATTTTTAAACGTCTACGCAATAAAACAGTGTACACTCCTCAACCTCTATTTTGTTTGTTATTTATGTCACGAGTACTTTTGAATTTAGTTTTTGAATCGTACTTCATAGTATGTTTTGTTTACAGTTTTAAATAAATGCAAACCGTGGTTTGCATCTCGTAAATCTGTAAGAACAGTGAAAGGGTGACTTTTGTTCGTATGCATTTCTCTTATCGATTCATAGTTTTCAATCACGTGATCGACTCACTAATTTGGCGGTAAAGGGGCGCAGTGGTGTTTTGCCCACGTGAACCTTGCTTTGTTGCACATGCGGAAGAGGTCCATATAAGAAAAATCTTCTCCTTCTATGATTGGCCGTTCTATCGCTGTACCCAGAACAGCCAACCAGAGAAGCAGTTTGACTGGGAGCGCAACAAAATGCAAAAAATGAGCGGGAGTTCTTCAGTTGATTCTGAGGCTGGAAACACTGAAACAGTTTATTTACAAAAATGCCCGCAACTTCTGAAATACACGCCGGGGAGCTGCCGAAGCAGGGCAGCTGTGAGAAAGAGGAAAAGCAGCGGCTGACGACGGCGGCCGAGAAGCAGAAAAACTCTGGATTTTTCTGTGATGAACAAGGATATCTGAGTCTGGTGGAGCACATCTTGGAGAACGGCCGCTTAAAGGGGGACCGAACCAACACTGGAGTCCTGTCCCTGTTCGGCGCTCAAGTCAGATACAGCCTGAGAGGTACAGTTTACAGCTAGCATGGCATTGTATCTGTGTGTTAAAAGTACTGAAAACAGAAGGACTGCATGAAGTAATATGAAAAAGTCTTCCTAAAACAAAGTAATCTGCACCTTTTAGTCTGCTAACCACTGTAATTGACTTACAAGTATAAAGTGGCATAACATTAAAATATAAAATAAAGGTAGTCGTTGCATAAATACCCATCTGCAAATGACAGCTGCTTCCTACTTCCTCAGCAACATCACGTAACGTTTTTTTTTTTTTTTTTTTTTTGCGCAATCTTTCACAGACCAGTTTCCCCTGTTGACAACAAAGAGAGTGTTCTGGAGAGGGATCCTTGAGGAGCTGCTGTGGTTCATCAGGGTGAGCCTGGCAGGAAAACAAAAGAAACACAAGTCAATGAAAATCTTGCCAGTGTATAAATTAGATCTGATATTTTTGCAATCTGTCACAGGGATCAACAAATTCCAAGGAGCTGTCAGAAAAAGGAGTGAAGATCTGGGATGCCAACGGGTCTCGGGACTTTCTGGACAACCTTGGGTTCACTGACAGAGAAGAGGGTGACCTAGGTCCTGTGTATGGTTTCCAGTGGAGGCACTTTGGTGCAGAGTACACAGACATGCATGCAGGTACAGTTTTCACCCAGTTGAATGAAGCTGTGAAGTCATTTGTCAGGATCAGATCTGCTCACCAAACTGTAGCCATGCATATAATTTTTCCTTTATTTGTCCATATTTTTATCCCAGTAGAAGAAAAGCAATGCAGGTTTGTTTGTGGTTGGTGCGGCAGCTATACAAGTAACTGTCTGAATTACTACATATAACTGGAAGTGCATGAGGAAACATCCACCTTTGGACTTTATAGTTAATTTGTTCACTCAAAGGTATTTGAGGGCCACCCTTTATTTAGTCATTCTGAATATTTCATAAAGATGCACAGAAATTCTGTAAAACATACAGCAGGCTGTGGGTTTTTACAGGTGTTATCTTATATGGAAATGCTGCTGTAAATGAAAATCATTTGTAGAGATGTCGAGTTTTCATGTTTTTTCCTGGTTTCATCTTTGGACAGATTACACAGGACAAGGTGTTGACCAGCTGCAGAAAGTCATTGACACCATCAAAACGAATCCAGAGGACCGGCGCATCATCATGTGTGCCTGGAACCCCAAAGGTGAGGCCAACGGAGACCTTTTGCTTTAAGTCGCATTTGGTGAAGAATTATACAAAAGGTAAATCTTTGTCGTGTCTTGTGGTGTTGCAGACCTTCCTAGGATGGCGCTGCCCCCCTGCCACGCACTCTGCCAGTTCTACGTGTGCGACGGCGAGCTGTCGTGTCAGCTGTACCAGCGCTCAGCTGATATGGGATTAGGAGTGCCTTTCAACATCGCCAGCTATTCACTTCTTACCTACATGATTGCACACATTACAGGACTCAAGGTATGGCCAGTGCATTCTTGTCATATTTGATACCTGTTTGGTCCAGCAGTGTCCCCTTTATCGCATCACCTGATATATATTTTTTTAATCTGTCCATTCAGCCGGGCGACTTTGTTCACACCCTGGGAGATGCTCATGTTTACCTCAACCATACTGAACCTCTCAAAGGGCAGGTGGGTTACTTAAATGTGCTTCTTGCATGTCTCATTGCTTTTTTTTTTTTTAAATTTCAAACTTACACGTTTGTTTGTGTTTCATGTGCAGCTTCAGCGAGAGATCCGACCATTCCCCAAACTGAGGATCCTGAGAAAAGTGGAGAAAATCGATGATTTCCGCATGGAGGACTTTGAGATCTACGACTACAACCCACATCCCACAATCAAAATGAAGATGGCTGTGTAAACTCAAGTCACAACGTTGTTCTGAATGAACAGTATGCTCTCCACTGTAATGTGTGCCTGCTTCACTCATGCTAAAAGTTCAGTTTTTTTTCTGTCTGGTTTGGGTGAACTCTCTTTTAAGCCTTAAGCACTTCAAAGTGTTTTTTTCTCTCTCTTCAAGTTCTTTGTTTTGTGTTTTAAATGAATAATTATCTAAGTCTGTAAATAAAGATGTTAACTTTGTCAGCTTGAGCGCAATCTAGTTGTACATTCAGTACAAAATATGACACTGGTGGGTAAGTGGAGAGTTTGCTTTGATTTTTAGTTTATTTAAAGAGTTTGAAGATGCTAGTTGTGACTTTGCAAGACGTCACAAAAGTTAAAAGATGTGTTCATATATCCTAATAAAGGACGGGTTTACCAGTTAAAACTAAGTAAAGGGTGTCACATACAGTGAGCCCAGGTTGCCTACTTTACAGCTTTGTCCACAAGTCTTTAATTCCATGTATTTGCAACTTCCTATATGCTAACTGATGAACTGGAGTTGTACACCCATGAACTGTTTGGCTTAAACAGGGTAGCATCCTTCAGATATCTTGTTAATGGGTTTCTGCTGCAAAGCACTGCATAGGAGGGAAATTCTTCAGAAGACAGAATTTAGAGGATTTACATGATAAGTGCTTATGAAGGAAAGATGACCACAATCTGATGACTTAAGAGGACTTAATACAAGGTTTACAGCTTGACTTGTAATTTTTCAAGTTTCATTAATATAGTTCTATTTCACAGCAGCAGTTTTCTCACAGCACTTTACATTATAAAGGAAAGACCAAAGAGTATTAAAAAAAAATCAAATGATTCACTAAAGCTTGGCACTTTGATCAGTAAGAAGAAAAATATTCTATTTACGGTAACAGAAAAAGAGCTCTGGAGAAAGTTAATTTCAGTTCCCCAGGCTTTCTGAAAGACTTTTTCTTTGGACATTTTCAGTCCAGTCCTTTTATGTGACAATTTCAGAATGTTTTTCCCCTCCAATGTTTGTACTGTACAAATGTAAAATGTTTAAAATACAGTCCCTATTTCTTTATTTCCTGTTTCCATATGTCTCCTTCAGGGTACTCATGTCGGTTCACAGATTCCTCCAGCATCTCACAAGAATAGCCTGGATCCTGAAATCAAAGAGCAGAACGATCTATACCAGCAGCTGTAAACAACGCAAAGTTGTTTTTTTTTTTCAGAGTAATGCAGATTGACTTCCTAATCAGTTTCTTGCCTTCGGTGGCATATAGTGGGCGTCTTGAATCACTACAGGACTAGTGAAGTGCTCGTGGAGGTGGTCTACATATTCACACATTCTGGGGGGAAAACAAATCAAAAAGTCAGTGTTTGGTTATAATCACTGAGATCAAACTGTTGATAAAAATAAACGCTGCTCCTACCGGTTCCTGAGATCCGCAGACACGCAGATGTAATCAAACAGAATCAGATGCTGGACGAGCTCACAGAGCCCGACTCCACCGGCATGAGGACACACAGGCACTGAGAAAGAAGAAACGCAAACCCACGAGTTTCCTCTGTGTAGGCAGTATTTGTCTAATAACCTTTGAGGGCCTTTGGCAACTTTTAAAAAACATGCCTTGGGGATCTGTATGATTCATGATTGTTATTCCTTGAACTTTTACCTTGGAACTTGTAAGCCATCAGCAGCACGGCCAGGTTCTCGTTGACACTGCCCAGCCTACAGCTGTCTATCTGGACAAACTGCAGTGCAGAGGCCTGCAGGAACTGCTTAAACATCACCCTGTTGTGACACTGGAGAGAAAACTCAACTCAACTCAACTACAAATATAACCCATCAAAGATATGCTTGTTGGAACAGACCTGAGCTCTGACCTGCTCGCCTGTTGCCACTCCAATCCCCAGTGGAGCCAAAGCCTGCAACAAGAAAGTTGTTTATAACTCAACAGCCCTGGATGGATGACTGAATGTACCTAAGAGACAGAAAGAGGGTCCTGTTCTTGTGTTTATTGTTACCCTTAATATTATTCATTAGAAATCAATGATACAACCATATAGAGGTTTAAAACGACTGCCAAGGGATGCAAAATAGCCACAGAAAGACATAAAATGTATCTGATGGTTGCTTTGTTTTGATGATTTTTCAACCTTTCTGTTGTCCCATATACATACTGTATCACAGAAATGCCTTTCATACACATAAACAAGCTGAAAACTAGAAATTATTCTCTTACCTTGGAAATAGCAGCATGACCCAGGATGTCATCTGGAGACGTGGGCTCCTCGATCCAAAGGGGTTTGACCTCAGCCAGTCTGGACACCCAACTTATGGCCTCGGCTACGTCCCATCTCTGGTTGGCGTCGATCATCTAACAGGAAAATAAACCCCTTTGGTATAATTTCCTAATGCCATTACACATGCAGGGGCAAGAACAGGCTTACCAATGTGCTGCTGGGTCCAATCATTTTCCTTATGAGGCAGCACCGGCGTATGTCGTCCTCTAGATCAGCGCCAACCTTCACCTTAAATCTGGTCCATCCACTTTTAAGACCATCCGAGCAGAGCTTAACAGAAACATGACTGTCATTATAGTTAGTAGTATGCCTAACTAGGCACACTGTTTGCTGAGCGATTTATACAACAGAGACCTGCTTGAGCTGCTGGTCTGAGTATCCGAGCCAAGCACAGGAGGTGGTATATGCAGGATAACCCTCTTTCAGCATCTGATCCTCTGATGGAAAAAAGATATGTACTGAATTAAATTGTGTTTAAATGGAATAAACTGGCCTTTTATGGTGGCTGAAAGGGCTCTGGTTGGTTTCTAAAGAGGCAGTAATTAGTGTGCTCACCTCTCTGCTTCTTGCCCTCCTGTGCTTTCACAAGTATGTCTAAGAAAAGAATGAAGACAGAAGGAGTGTGACACAGCGTTTTGGTAACACTGCATTTCTCAAACTGTACTGGACACACTCAATGACGTCAAAAACCAGTCTCACCCAGAGCTTCTTCCTCTGTAAGCACATCAGTGATGTATCTGAAGTCGATGCACGACACAATCTGCTTCGGGTCCTGAATTGACAAATACATGGCATGATATTTCCCTTGTGATTACATCTCGGATATAAATCGGTGGAGTAAATTATCTCTGACTCACCATGTCCACGAGCAGCTTCCACAGCGGCTGTGGAAAAAGTCTGTGAGCCATGATGTGTCATGCTTTATGAAAGAAACAAAGTTTTACTTATTAAGCTTCATCTGAGATTTCCCCACCTTGCCTTCAGCTCTTGCCCAGAGGTCCCACACAGCATTCAGGACTGCAGCAGTGGCCAGGTGGATCACTCCTTTCTCTGGGCCTAACTGTACCAGACGAGAGTCATAATTACATCTAGCAAAACTGGAGAGTACACCGCCGTTTGTTAATAGACACATTTTTCATCATGCATTTATTACCTAGGTCTCTTTTTATAGTTAATTATTGTTGGAGGCTTTTTTGGCATGAAAAAACAAGCATACATTATTCAACAACACTGGCAAAGCCACCAGTCTGAATAAGCTGTCTCGTATGGATACAAAAGTGTGGGCACCGCTAGATAAATGACATATTTTATAAATATAAAATATGTCATTTAACATTTATTCAATAATCATATTGATATTAACCCATAAGTGTTAAACACCGAGTGAATATCAGCAGATTCCATCAGTCAAGTGAAACTGATATTAGCTTGAAATCTAAAGAAATGACTGTAATCTGGTCATGTTTGTTATGTTATGTTTGTACTCTCACCCATCTCATCTGGCCATCACTGGTCAGGAGGCGGTAAAATCCACGGAAGTTACTCACAATCTCCTGCAAAGATTTGCCGATAACTAGTCCTGCAAGGGCCTTGACAGCGCACAGCACTGTGGGGTTTCAACCAGCAACAAAAACAAAGAAAAACTGGATGAAGATCAAAACTTCAACAAAGCTCTATAATTTTAATAAACCTCATTTAAACAGATACAGGGACTGTGGAGTCTGAGAAGACAGCCCTGCAACAGCCAAGTTATGATGTTCGGTGTTTTGTCCAGTTTATCTCCCTGTTGCTCTGTGCCACCCTACACAAAGGCGTCTCGCTCATAAGCCTGCACTCTTTGATATCCACTGTGACTAATTGAGGGTGAGTGGGAAGAGAAGAGAACAGAGAGAGACAGAGTAACAGTTACACTATGTTAGACAGAGATGAATAATTACTAATGAATATTTTTCAGTTTCAACAGTTTTCAACAGTAGTTTCCTGTTTTATTTTGATAGTCTCTTGCCTTGACAATATTTTCTGTTGCTGCAGCGTCAAGAGGACTTGAGTCATGAACTCAAGTCCTCTTGACGCTTTATAACCAGCTACTTTGCACGTACAGCGAGTGAAGGCATTGGGTAAACCGAATCAGGCTAAATTAAATCGAGCTATTAGACCTGAGTGAACTCGTATTGATCAGAGTTAGAACAACTAAAATAAACTTAGATTAACCTGAAAGGAACTAATATAGGTTAAGCGGTAGTTGATACAAATCAGGATTTAAAACCAAACCTGGGAAGGGGGAGAAATATATCTTTGTTTTGCTTTTGTTTGTTTGTTTTTTTATCTTCTTTTTTTATTTAAAATAACTAATGCCATATATACACACCTACACACCATATACACATTTTTATAGTCAATCCTCATGTATTTACTGTGTGCGTATTAACTAGTAATCCATCCTTATTCCAGCATCTATGAACCACCATACATGTTATAAATGTTATCGTTTTTGTCATGTTTATATCATGTCAGTATTCTCTGTAATGTAACTGAAATCCATTGACTAAAACTACCACAAGATGGCAGTGTAGGGCTTGGAAATTAAAAAGAGAAAAATCATCCAAGATCGGACATTTTCTCTGCAACTTTTTAATCATTAAGGAGCATGTAGGCCATAGAAACACCGACAATAAACCATAATGTGGCTGATTTCTGCATTGTTAATGTTTTTTTAAACAATTTGGTGGTGTAAGTTATGAGACGTTGTATTCATGTAAAAATCTACATCGCAGTTGTAATTTTGCTCAATAAAAAACAGCAGCGTTTTCACATTTACTCTATATAGCTGAGATTTTTTTCCCCTACCGAAAACCTTTTGATAAAATTCACACTGTTCAAGAACCAGAAATTCCGAGCTCACTGCGTGCACTTGAATGCAACAGCAAGTTTGTTGTGGTGGCTTCGTCAAAGTGGGTCTTTAAGGCCGCCCCGCGTGGGTCTTACCGATCTCGGTGCCTTTTCCCAACGTGAACGTGAGGCCGAAACCTTTGAGGCCGCTGTCCGTGTCGAGGACCACATAGGCGGCCGAGTAGTCCGGGTCGGTGTGCTGCAGCGTGGACATGAGAGGGAGGGGGGAAAG